TATATATATATATATATATATATATATATATATATATATATATATATAAAATTGCGCAGCTCCCCCTGTCAGTGATCTCGCTATGGAATTCGCTGGCGCCGCCCCTGGTCAGGAGAATATGTAAGAAAACAGCTTTGGACTGTTCAAATTTATTCCACTGGACGAGTAAAGCAAAATTTCTCCAAATCTGATCCGAAAAAGAAACAAACTGGATGGCCTGAGGGTGAGTTCATTTTCAGCAAATCTTCATTTTTGTGTGAACTATTCCTTTAAATAAAATTAATTGTCTACTCTGCATATGGGTTTTATACTGTATACCTTAACTATTTCCATATATATGATTTGCATTCATATTTTATTCCTAAGAATTATATGTAATTCATGTTTTAAAATGATCACTTCTTTTTTTTAAGTATTTCTTATCTGTGTTCAAATTCAAATTTTAAACTTTGTTTTTTAAATTTGTTACTTTCTATGTTCATTTTGTCATGATGTTCCATAATTATTCATTTATATTTTTGAATTTGTGGAAGTTTAATTAATTAAGTTTTATTTTTCATTTGCTTCAAGGCTGTTTAACTTATTTTGTTCACTACATAATTTCTACACTTTTTTGTGTTATTTTGTTGTTTTGATATCTTAAATATTATTCCAACATGTGGAAATATATAATAATAATAATAATAATAATAATAATAATAATACATTATTAGTAGTAGTAGTAGTAGTAGTAGTAGTAGTAAATGAGTAGCTTTGTATACACAATAATGCATATAAGTGCTTTCCTTGGTGCTTGTTATTTTTGAAGGGCTGATCCCAATATTTTTTTGGCTTTTTAGTGTCCATCCTTTTATTTTGCAGATGTTGTTTGTCCTTGTCTAAGTGGATACTGTTGTGCAGGTAGCATACAAACTGAGCAGCATGGCTAGAGGTTTCAAAAGCACTCTGAACATGATTCGAATGTAAATAGTGTAACTAACAACCTTACCTTCAACTCACCTGGGAGAATAATCAACCCTTACATGAGGCTCTTTTAAAGGGAACCCCCACCCCCAGATTTTGTGTCTCATTTACAACATTGGGTTATTTCTATTGACGGAAAGGGCTTCCTTTGAGTACATGGATCATTGGATATGGTCCATTTGACCTCTGTAGTCTGAAGTTGAAGCTCATTTACATTTGGAGGGGTTACACTGTGGATGCAGAAGATCTGTGTTTGTACTCTGCCAAAATTCCCCCTTTAAAACAGGAAAAACAAACTTAGCAAAAAAAGGTCTTGAAATCAATTACCAGTGGCATAAGCACAAAAATGTAATTCTTAAAAATATAATAGGCCTAAAGCAATACAAATAGAAAAGTTAAGCTTGATAGGCACATTTCTCCATGGTTTTAGTTATCAATATTTTGATTAGTATCTAGCTATTTAGTTTCAATCATTCTTACTGTCACAGCCACACCCTGGAATCGGTTCCATGATTGCCCTGTGCATTTTTGATTATAAAAAAAGTAGAATTGAAGTCGAATGGCTGTCATTTTTAAATCTGTACACTCAGCATGTGGAGTTTTTCCACAAAGTGGAAGTCATTAATAACTTAAATGCTAGATAGAAGAAATAGAGTTCTTCCATGATCTCCATTAAGTTCTTCCACTTAATTTCCCAGATTGCTCTAAAATACTCCAAATTACAATGTATCTGTGTGATGTTGAGCTGTTTTAAAACAATATATTTGTGGTGCAGAATGGCAAAATAACAATCTGATTGCAGTCTTAATGGTTTTGACAGTATAACTTAGATTAGAGAAATGTGTCTAACCAAAAAAATTTATAAAAAAGCTATCCATACTTCCAAATGTATCAAAAATAGATTTATTCACAACATTTTGGTCCTATGACCTTCATCAGGCACCATATATTACATTCCCACACAAGATGATGTCATCAAAAGTGTAGCCGGGCCATATACCTGCTAATTAAACAAAAGTATGTACATACAACATCTCTGTCTTTGTCTCTCTTTCTCATAAGGTTGTCTTCACCACCTGCTCCCATAGCTTGAGTTCATACACAAATAATAGCTGCACCTCCTTGAGCTGTTGTCATGGCAACTGCACAAGACATCGTCAGAGGCAAGCAGAGAGATGCTATGGTACCCGATCATTATGATGTACATGGAATAAACTGTGCACAAGTCTGCTCCTGAGTACACCTTCATATGATGCAGCATGTGTTTGTAGCCACCACAACCAAGTTTAGTTCCTGTTTGTTTTTAACAGAAGCCCATAGGCCAGTTATACAGGGTTCTAAACAACATCCATTAATTTTGAAAAAAATAAAAAATACGAAAAGCTGTAAAAAAAAAAGTAATAAAAAAAAAAAGTCCCAAATGCCCCTGAAAAAAAGTACTGTCTATGGTAAAAGAAAGACAATAGCGCTCGTTTCTGCTTAGTATCCAGAGAGCTATCACGCTGTGCAGAGATATGTTCATTTTTCTTGTTTGGTGAAATGTTGTTCATTAGGCTTTTCAATTGAATTTGGGCCAAATAGAACTAAAAATGTACCTGATTATTGTAGTTTAATTCATTTTAATTACATTTATTGTGGATTAATTACTATTCTGGCATTCTAACTACTTGCAACGTTCAGGAACACAAATAAAGGCTTGTTCACATCAAGAACAATAACGGTAAAGATACATATAACACAGGGGGGTCCAAACTTGGTCCTGGAGGGCCGGTGTCCTGTAGAGTTTAGCTCCAACTTGTCTCAATAAACCTGCCTGGAAGTCTCTAGCATGCCTAGTAAGACCCTTGGATAGCTAGTTCATGTGTGTTTAATTCGTTTTGGAGCTAAACTCTGCAGGACACCAACCCTCCAGAGATTAGACACCCCTGATATAACACAATAACGTTCTGTTTATTATAAGTGTATGGAGCACTTAACAGTATGTCATCTGCTGCTTTAAATGCTCAAGCAGGAAGAATTCTGGTTGTCTGTCATAAAACAAAAAAAAAAAATTATGAAAGTGATTCCAATGGCATTGTTCCTCTGTGCTGTTATAGATGTGAACTTTGCTTTATAGTGATTTGTATCTTTAGCGTTATTGTTATAGCTTTTGTTGTTGTTAATAAATATTATAGCAGCTGATCTGTTACCTCTATCACTTATAATAGGCTGGTGATTTAGTCTTATTTGCTTTCTTCCCAGGATGCACCTTAGTCTCCAAATGAAAAATTTGACAATTGTCTCATTCTGGTTAATTGTTTACTTGTTGCTTTGGATTTTTACCATCGAAAGCAATTTTGCAGATTGCGACCATTGAAATCAAACAATTAGGGTTGATGTGCTCTCAGTAACTACAGTTCCTAGGTCAGCCCTTTGTACAGTAGTTATTTTATCAGCAAATCTACTCAATAGTAAACTAGTGTAATGGTATAACAATTCACCAGTCAATGGTGAAACCCTGTTTGAATCCATCTTTGATACCTTCGGTGTTCTCTCACTCCCATTCACGTCTCTGAATAGCAAAAGCAGATCAATATTATATTTAAGACACGGAGGTTGTAAGCAGAGGTCACACAGAATGCACTTGAGCTAAAAGAACCAACTTCTTAGCTATGCTGAAACACATGGATTATACTTGACACATTTTCTGAATATCATTGCTGCACTGTACATATTTAAAATAAATAAATAAATATTAAAAAAAAAAATTCTGCCAAAAAATGTAGCTGGATCTTTTCTCAGAACTACCTTCACTTTTCAGTGCAGTGATTTTTTCTTCTTCTTGTTTTTACTTCTTTAAAATGCTATAATTGTAGCTATAATGTTTCTATATTTAAATAATGAAAGCATAATTGGAGTGGACTCAAATGCTTTCTTGACAAATTCAGCAGGCACTAAGCAGTAAAATTAAAGCCTTTAAGATTTTTGCAACGCATTACTTTAAGTTTTTATTTGATAAAATGAGAAGTATGTCTTACATAACACATAACACTGGCATTCATAAAGTGTGTGAAGATTGTGAAATTGAATGATTGTCTTTAAATTGATTCTAAAGAAACAGCATTACCTGCACTCTGCATAACAGTTTTGATCAGCATTTTGTTGCTCATTTTCCATTTGCATTTCTTAATTTTACATACAGCAAATAAACTGAAACTCAAAAACAGACCTAGAACATTCCAAACAACCTTAAGCATCCATTTTGGGGGGAGGGCAATGCAACATTTGATTTGTACAATATACATTTTTCAGTTGTGGTTCACAGATACAGCTGTATCAAACATCTACAGGTCCGTTTAGAAAAGTGCTATTAAATGACCACAAAAAGCTATGACACTCCATAAAGAGATTGTGAAATCCTTCAAAAGCACTTTGATTTGAATAAACAAATCCACAGTTACTGAGCTGGTGCTTTGTTTCAGGTGGACATCTAAAAGCTATCTCTGGGGAGAGAACTCTGTCAGAGTTTGGAAGCAGTCAATAAAGATTTACTCAAGTCTTTTGCTTCTCCAGCTGTTCTCACACGTTCATAACCCAGGATGGCCATTGCATGATGGCAGTACTCCTCTACTTGTTTTATCTGTTGAATACTCAACACTGTTCTCCATGCACTAGCCGCCTGTGTGGCATTCCTGGCAGACACAATAAATGGCTTTGATGAAGAGCTTGTGCCATTCGTCATGTTAAGAGCAAAAGACTCGATGTCAAGGTTGGCACTGAGATTAGCAAATTGATAAACATTCCGGAGTGTTTTGACAGGGTTTTCCACCAGATCCTCATAGCGCACCGCCAGGTATTTCCCCTTCAGCCAGCCGGGCGGATTTAAGGCAGTCCTCAGGCTCCTGTACGTCCGATCACATATCACCTCCATAGCCCCAACCGAATGGTAATCTGCTCCATCCTTTTTGCTAATTTTGTGGCCAGGATCCACAAAGGGTATCCGACGGAGTTTGGGATCCCTGCTTCGGACCACCTGTAAGTTCTCACGAATCAACCCGTGCCTCGATTTGATCCTGGAGTTGGCCACGGCTCTGGGATCCCGCACAAGGTGAATCACCTTGAGATCCAGAGACGGATCCTCCATAAGGGGTGCCAAAACATTGACATCCAGAACCCGGACCCCTTTTATGACTATAGTGTTGTACTTAAGGCATTCTTCCTCTAAGAGCCTGAGGCTTTGTGGAGGACATTTTTTGCACACTTTGTCATCCACCATCCCAACCACTTCTTTCCTATAAGCAGAGCAGAGAGGATACGAGCAGATGACTTTATTAAGTGTGGCCCCAAAAAGTCCAAGGGAGGTGAGGTTTTTGCCCCCAGGGCTGTTATAGAGCTGAAAAACTGAAAGATCACAGCGGTACAGCGAGCTTAGCATGTCCCTCGCTGCTCCCTGTAAGGACACAGCATCACCCGGGTACAGCTTTTGCCAGATGTGCCACATCGGTTCATATAAAAAGAAAACCTCTGGGTGTTGATTAAACAGCTCTCCGAAAAAGGATGAGCCAGACCTCCACGTGGTCAAAACATAGACGAGCTGTCTCTTTTTAGCAAGAGATGGTCTGTAAAGGAACCGAATGTCTGACCTGCCCTGGTATGGAGTGCTTCTCATCTGGAGATTACACTGTTGAGGTTCTTTAGTCCACCTGTAGTTCGCCAGGTTCAGCATGGTGAGAATCAGCAGCAGAAAATACGCTATAAACAGTACAATTCTTTTTCTCCGCAACACTTTCATTACGATTCCAGGCTGGGTGATTATTTTTGTGGGATGATTCCGATATGTTTTGAGATTTCTGCCATAAACACCATTCTTTTCCCCTAGTGCATGCAACTGAAGTTGTAGGAACTGGTTGCCTCGCATCTGTTAAAGGATACAGTGGCTTTGAACCACTCAGTCACACTGGATGAGCAACTGCACACACGTTATCAATTCAGTTGGTGTTTTCATGCAAGCAAACATTGTTCTTAATGAAAACCTGAATGCGATCTCCTCGCTTGCCGACAAACATTCAATATCCATCACATCCACAGTCCAATCGCGTGCAGTGCTGAATGTAGCCTTACTGCAGTGCGCAGAAAAATACGCGAACGCTCACAATATCATATCCGTGTGTGCGTCCATCAATAGCGACCGTTAGAGAAATCCTTTTAGCAGCGATTGCCTATAATGTGGCTCCTGCGGATGTGGAGAACCGCTACAGTAGCGGAATAGACATCATTAATATATTATAACTGCGTCAGCGTTGTAAATGCGGTCAGGATGCATTCATTACTCTGCAAACATCTTGCTTTTCAGTTGCGTGTCGTTATGCGCGTCTGTTTTAGCCGATGCGGCGTCTGTCTCCGGCTTCAACTGTACTGAACAGATTCAGTCTCGGTCTGGGGTAGCCTAATAAAGACCCTCCCCTTCTCCACAGCCAGTGGAAATGCACCGGTGCTTTCGCCACTTCAAACTCCCCCCACCACATTATGTCAGTGAACTGCAAAACAGTCGAGATGACTGAACACAGCAAGTGCAGTTGTGAAATAATAGGCTACGTGAAAACTGCACAATAGTGTCTCTTAAAAACTGGGAATTATAGATCATTGAAAAACAGCAATTAAGTTAAAATACAGAAAATATGCATTAATTTCCCACATGCTTTCCTCCAGTCATCCTAAAGGAATTTGAATAGGATTCTAGTGGTACTCCTGTCATCATTGTGAACCTAAAGAAAAGTAGGGTAGAGTGGGGGAAAACGCCCCCCTTAAGGACTGTGTACTTTTTTCTCTGTGAAACAAAAGTTAAATGTGTCCAGAATAGTTATCATAGTTTTAGTGACAATGGCACAATTATGAAAAATGTCTGGAGTGAGCACTGGTATGTTTTTTGTTTTGTTTTGTTTTGTTTTTAGGAGGATGAAATGCTCAAAAACCACGGCAGGAACAAGTGAGAACAAGTTCTTTCTTTTCTTTTCTTTTCTTTTTTTATTCACTTTTTTTCAGTAGTGGTATCGAGGTATTTTAGTCAGGTATCGTATCGAAGTCAAAATTTTGGTATCATGACAACTACTGTACAACACATTTTTTTCACACAATTAAGCTTGATATGATTTTTTTTTTTTTTTCAAGGTGTTGAGAATGAGCTGTTTAAAGCATGCTGTCTATTGTTGTAATAGACTTTGACACTCTGGAAACACCCTGCTTTATGTGGCTTGTTAAGGACAGGTGTGCTATTTCTTTTCCAAGCAATTGAACTTAAAATGTTTACCTATTAAATAATAAAAAAGTAGGAACAAATCCTCTAGACTGATGGAATACCACTAAATGAGGGATATATAAAAACCTAGCTGTACCATAGTCATAGACTGGTAGTTGCTCACCTGTGTGGGAGCACTGGCATGTTTTTTGTTTTGTTTTGTTTTGTTTTTAGGAGGATGAAATGCTCAAAAACCAGGGCAGGAACAAGTGAGAACAAGTTCTTTCTTTTCTTTTCTTTTTTTATTCACTTTTTTTCAGTAGTGGTATCGAGGTATTTTAGTCAGGTATCGTATCGAAGTCAAAATTTTGGTATCGTGACAACTACTGTACAACACATTTTTTTCACACAATTAAGCTTGATATAATTTTTTATTTTTTTTTTGCAAGGTGTTGAGAATGAGCTGTTTAAAGTAGGAACAAATCCTCTAGACTGATGGAATACCACTAAATGAGGGATATATAAAAACCTACATGCCCCTGTTTAAATGGCTGTGTTTTGAGATGTATAAAATGAATACAAGATAAATCATGTCAGATCTTTTTACACATTTAATGTGATATTGAAACAAACCACATTTTTGAGAAGACATTTTTCTTCTAATAAACGTTAAAAAGAAAAAAAAAACACTATGACATGTCTGCATCCTGTACTGGAACATACTATTTGACCATCATGGTCGGTTCTCACCTGCAATCTTGTTAACTTCCATAATCCCAATATGCAAACTGGCTAATCAAAATAGTGTCACAGAGAATGTCTCAGGTTACTTATGTAACCATGGTTCCCTGAGTAGGGAACTTCGAACTGCGTCCTCTAGGGGTCGCTATGGGGAACGCCTCGTCGTGACCCGTGTCTGAAGCATACATTGAAAAAA